CTGGTCGGCAGGAGGTGCGGGGCAGAAAGGCGAGAGCGTGGAGCGGGGGCGAATGAGAAGTGAAGGGGAGGCACACCAAAGGAGAAGTGGACATGAAATTCTGGCCCCCTGGGCCCCTCGGGCGCCGCAACGGAGGCTTGAAGACGCGAGGAGGGCGACTCGGGCGCCGCGTGAAGGTGCAGGGGGCCCGTCAGTTGCCTCTTGGGCCGTCTCGGAGTGTCGTGGAGGCATGTCGGACGCTGGCGCGTGCGCCCTGGATGCTTCGGGTCGTGGTCGGGGCGCCCTGGGGGCCTCTTTAAGGCGCAGGGCGCCTGCCAGTGGCATCTCGGCCCCTGTGGGTCTCTGGTCGGCAGGAGGTGCGGGGCAGAAAGGCGAGAGCGTGGAGCGGGGAAGAATGAGAAGTGAAGGGGGGGGGGGGCGCCTAGGGAGAAGTGGACATGAAATTATGGCCCCCTGGGCCCTTCGGGCGCCGCTACGGAGGCTTGGAGACGTGAGGGGGGCGACTCGGGCGCCGCGTGAAGGTGCGGGGCACCTGTCAGTTGCCTCTGGGGCCGTCTCGGAGTGTCGTGGGGGCATGTCGGGAGCCGGTGCGTGCGTCCTGGGATGTGTCGCAAGCTTGTAGGCCGAAGCCTAGGAGGCTCGTCGCGATCGGTGAAGTGGTTGCAAAGGCCGTTTCGGGGTATGCTTGGGGCCTCTGGGATATCTTTTCGGGTATCCTGGCGCCCCTCCGGACCATCATGGGGACGTCTCGGGCCATCTTGGGGCGCGCATGGGGTGGGCGTGGAAAGCCTTGGGGCTCGCCCAGGCCGCGCTAGGAATCTCTTGGGCTGTGTTGGGGCGGGTTTGCAAGGCTACTGGGGCGTTCCGGAGCGCGTGGCAACTGAGGCCAGAAAAGGTGAGAAAGTACAAAAAAACCTGTGGAGAAAAAGCAATTGGTTTTGGCAACGTTGGCTTCTCCCGGGAGGCGCCCTGGCGTCCTAGAATGGTATAGGGCTCTTTTTGCGGCTTCAAGGGCCGCCTTGGAGCCATCGCGGGCGTCTTGGGGAGGGTGGAGGCCCAGGAAAGACTAGGAGGAGGCTGCGGAAGGGGTACGATGGGAGTTCGTGGTCCATGAGGGGGGCATCTTTTTGACTGTCGTGGACCGTGTCTGGGACTGCGTTGTGGCGGTTCTGCAATCTTTTTGGGCCGCGTCGGAGCGCGCGAAAACTAGGGGGCCCAGAAAGTCGAAAAATGATCGAAACCTTGGAAAAAACCATTGGTTTTAGTCACTTTGGCTCCTCCCTGCAGGCGCCCTAGCAGGCTCAAGGGCTGGCTCTGCGGTTTCTTAGGCCGCCTTGAGGCAATCGTCGGCGTCTTGGGGAGGGCGGAGGCCCAGGAAAGGTCAGGAAGAGGCTGCGGGAGGCGCTCCTTGGATCGCCAATGGGAGGGCGCGGGGCGCATGTCTGGGAGGTATGTGCAGGGGGGTGCCGGTGACCTGTGGGGTTTTCCCTTTTACTTTCATTGGTAGAAGGAATATATGTGTATATAATTACACACATATTGCAAGTACTGAAATGTTATCTTGGTAACTTAAGTAGCGGAGCTGGGGTCCACGGACCTTGCCCGACAGGGCTGGTGAAATCCTTTTCCACCTCAGCATGAACTGAGCCAAAGCTGGCTCTCCACAGTACACAAATGTCACAACAGCGCATGCGCAACGATCCTCACTCAAATCACGGATATATACATTGTTTCCTGCACTCCTCCTCGGGCCCATCTGCAGCTTCATGCCAAGATCGGGCACGCAATCTGGAAACATATCAATATCGAATCATAGCCAGCGAGTGAGGGTGCCAAATCCCGACAAACCCATCAACACTGTAGATCTTGTCCTGCCTTATCTCGTCGAGGGCGGTCGCCACGCATGCTTCGACCACCATCGCCTTTGTATATGTCGAGACGGCCCGATCCACTCGCCGTAGTCGTAGAAACTCCCGTCCACTGTCTATAGTCATAGCTGTGAACATAGCCCGAAGATCATTGACCACGATCTTGCTCGTAGCTCCATTCTTCATCGTGTCCTTCAGGCTGTACTGAGTTGAGGCATCTTTCTGTGCTGGCTGCGTGATACGGTCGATGTGCTGCTTGAGTTTGAAGACTGCACTCGTTGCGATAACACTCAAAAGGGTGAGCATCATCATCACGACCGTTGTGGAAACGCCAAAATGGCTCTCATCATCTGCAGGGCTTGAGATCGCGACTGGCTGAAACTCCTTCTCCACCAACTCAGTAGCGCCCGCGCGTCCAAATTGAAGAAACGCACCAAGACCCACCAAGCATTGAGTAAGTGCTCCCATCAGCTCCAGCGCAGGCTTGCCGATCTGGGCCTTCTTCTCGTTGCTTGAACCCGAAATTCCACCAACTTCACCTTTCCCAGTGAGCCAAACCTTCATCGCCGTTAGGTGCTTCATGAAATCGACCCTCGAAATGCGTTTCGTCCCAAGATCTGCGGTGTTCTCGTCGGTGTGAACTTTGCTCGTGCTGACCTTCGTCTCAGCCTTGCGCGCGACTAGGTCCTTGATCCACAGATCCTTCAACTCGATGTGCCTCATCCTGCCAACTCCCTTTTTCTCGACGTTCGTGAGAGCGCTGGAGTTGTCACTCTCCAGCGTCACTGGTACAGTTTCATCCAAGAGCTCCTTGAGATAAGTCTGTGCTCCTCTCGCCTCAATCCCGACATGCACGAGTGCGTTAAATTCAGCTTCGGGCGGCGAGAGTGCTGGTGCCCCCTGAGTCTTGACGAACTGCATGATCAAAGCTCCATTGAGAAACAACTGACCACAACTTGTGGACTTCCTCCCGATAGGATCCTCTGCCCAATTAGAGTCTGCACGTCCGATAACCTTGAACTCGCCGCTGTCTGGATACATGCACGTGACTGAAGATGGGTGAGCCCGAATGAACCTGATGATGCGCGTGAGCCTCGTCTGGTCCTGCACCGTCGGTCGTGGCATCCCCCTCGAACACTCCTTCGCTGCGTACTGACACTCGGGCCTCTCCAAGCGCGCGAACATGTTGAGGCCGTTGGCGCTCCTGAACTTTGTGGCCGCTTTGGAATCCAACTCCTCCTCGCTCTCGACCTTCTTCTCGTTCTTGACTCCTGGTATTGGGCTCGTCTTCTTATCATTGGGCTCAGAGTCGAGTAGCTTCTTGACAATAGCAGGCCACATGCGAACTTGAATACCTTCGGGGGTGCGGAGCCAGCCACGTCCAAGGTGCTTGATCTCAGGACCACCAACTGTGAGCTCAGAAACCTCGAGTAGAAAATGTGTGCCAAGCTCCTCCAACGCTTTGCTGGCTGAAACTCTGGGCCCCACCAGCGTGCCATCGTCAACATGCTTGGACATAGCAACTTGATTAGCCTTGTCTGCAAACGCACACGGGTCAGAAAGAAACCTCTTGAAAGTCATATTAGATTCATCATTCCGTCCTGTAGCGATGTTTTCAAAGTGGTCGTCGAAATCGATCATCGCCCCGTTAAGTCCGTAGACGGTCTTATTGAGCTTGAAAACCCAATCCGAACTATCGGGAAGATGGCAGTACTCCTTCGGAACCACTGCGTACACAAACTCCCGAATCGGCGCGTGCAGAAACGCTCGGGATATGTCGAAAAAGAAGATGGCGAAATCCTTAACGATAGCGTAGACCATGAGCAGCTTGAGTGAGAACGAAAGTGGAGTAGGGCAGTACAGCTCGTTCTTGCTCTTGTTGACCTGCTTGCCGAATGGTCGCGCACAAAGCCTCGCCTTGAGCTCACCACTCCTCATCCCCAAAACCCAAGTCCACGTAAGTGCCTTAGGCCCGTGAGGGTCCCTCAGCGTGAGCTCCCACACGTCGTAGTTGTCGAACCGATCTAGCTCGCACTGCTTCGCCTCCCACTCGTCGTCCTCGGTCCAGCCCATCACGATGCTGAACCCGCTGTCGTCCTTCAGCTCCTTGTCGACCTCGCCCGCGAGCCTCATCATCTCCTCCGTGCTGAAGCCCGCCACGGGCCTCTTGAGGTCGCCGGTGCTCAAGCTCTCGACGGCCCCCACCAGGCCTCGATTTCCAGGTGGGCCCCCAGGGCCGCCTTCACCGAGGTCAGCGTCAGCAGCTCCTCGCTTAGCGGGTGCCCCTGGAGCTGGCACCCCCTGCTTGCCACGAAGCCTCTTCTCGATCTTCTGCACCTCCCGACGAACTGCTTCAACTGGATCTTGACCTTGTGCTGGCTCTGGCCCTGCTGGTCGCTGTGCTTGCTGCTCGCCGTTGTTATCCTCCGAGCTGGCCGCAGGTGCGGGAACCACGACCACCTTCGGCTGCTCGTCGTCCTTGCTGGCGATTGACTTCTCGTACTCGGCCCGACGCTGTTGGCATGTCCTGCTGTGGTGTGGTGGCCGTCCTCGTCCGTGCTGACCTTTAGCTGCATACTCACACCCAGGGCATCCCTCCGTCGGCTGCCAATTCTCGCCCTCGTAGACTCCAGCTCTAACCGAGGTCCTCCAAGGCGTCCAACGCATGGCTTTGAGCATCTCCATGTCGAAGCTCTCCTCCGCCGTCAGCTGCTTCGCTGTCCTGGCCTGAACTACCCCCGTCGCCGTGCCGATAAGATGAGCATCACTCTTCGAACTGCGTCCGAGCCGCAGTCCCTTGCACCAGGCTGTGCCCAGCTTGTCCTGCAGCTCCGCGTGCTCCTTGCCGATCACTGTCTCTCCGAACTCCAGCATGGGTAAAGTGTACGGTGCCAACCTGAGCTCCTCGAAAGATGTGCGACCGCTGCTCCTCCTCCGTTGGTACCTGTTGTGGCAGAATATCTGATGCCGAATCATCCAAGGTATGATAGGAACACCCTCAGTGAACTGCATGTTGTAACGCTTCTCCAGAGCCAAACGCCCAGTCCTCGCAAGACCTGCAACCGACTTGACTCCACTCTCAACTCCACCTTGAGAAGCGTGGCTTCCGTTTGGAACTAGCCGTACTCGAAGTTAAGCTTCAGCTGCCTCTTTGCCGAGCTTCTTGATACGCTCCGAAATCACTCCATTCATGAGTGCCTCCAGTGCTGGTTCTCCGTCTAACTGAACTTCCATACTCATGTAGCCAAGCTCGTCCAGGTACTCGCTGATGGCCGCTTTTGCGTAGCTCTGATTGCCTTTAGCTTCCACGACAACTCCCATGAGGTAGCCTGTCCTTCTGTCCTTGCCGACTGCCAGGGTAAGACGCCGACCTGATCCATCTTCACCAAGAGTGAGAAACCCATAGTCGAATGATATAACTGGAGTAGCCGATGCGTTTGGATCTCTCGCGCGATGAGGGTCTTCTTGCCATCGTCCCATCATGCACTCCTGACACCAAGCTTCGAAAGGAATGTGACCTCTCCGAATGTGCGCTCTGACATGTTCTCCTGACATCCGAGCTGGTCTCTTGAGCCCAGGTGCGACGGGCGCCTCCGTCTGATCTGGAACTCCTTCTGCGACACCACGTGGGCCATCACGTGAACTAGCCGCTCCACTGTCAGCTTGCACCTCCACAGGCTGTGTCTCGACAGGCTCCTCCTTCATCTGCACGTCGTCCTTCTCAGAGTTGTCCTCGACATCGCCGATGATGGACTCGTAGCCTGTCGGACCCTTGAACTGCATGGGAAGAAGAAACGCATTCACCTTCCGTCGTAACCGCAAAGTCACTGTCGACTCGATCGCTTTATCTATCTCGTGCTGCACATTCTTGTTGTTTTTGAACATCTTGGCTCCGTCAGGATCAAAGTGTACCGAATAACCTGCATCAGTCATCTCTGCAACTGAAAGGGCACCTCTACGAACTTCAGCTGGCGTGGCGTCTAGTTCTGCAGGGATCGACGTGTTCGAATCGAAGACCTCACCCGTCAACGTCCGCTTACCCCAAGTCCGAATACCCTTACCAGTAATGGATCGCAGAGACTGACCTGGCTCGCCCGTGAGCTTGCACTTCTCCGTCATAGCCTTTGGTACGACATGAGTGTGAGCACCACTATATGCGAGCATCTCGCATTCGTCCCCGTCGGTGTCGTCCGTAAACGCAAAAATCCAACCCCCTTCGTCATCTGGTAGTACTGCTGCCTGTACGCGCCCAGTTCCCCGTACTTGTGTCTGCGACGCTGAATCTCCTGGATGGACCGTACTTGCTGAGCCCGATCCTGGAGCTAATTGAGGTCCTGGCTGAACCTCAGAAACGGATCGCTGACCTCCTCCAGGCTGATAAGCGCCGCCGCCGTACTTCCTGCAGTCCGCGATCTTGTGCCCGTACTTGCCCCAGTGGGGATTCGAACACCATCCGTCGAAGAGCTTCGTCTCGCCCTTCTTGCTCTGCATCTTGTTCTCGCCGTCGCCCTTGCCACCTTTGCCGCCCGAACTCTGCCGAGCACTTCTTTGACTGCTCGACTTGCCACCGCTGCCCTCCTGGTCCGACTTGCCGCCGAAGCCCTTGCCCTTGGAATCGCCCTTGCCGCCCTTGTCGGAAGCGCCCGCGTCCATGGCGTTCGGGTCGAACTTCTTCTTGGTCACCCTCGGGTCGCGCTGCGTCATCTGCTGAGCGAAGGCCTCGCAAGTCTCCCGTAGGATCTGGTGAGTCGTGAAGGTCTGCATCATCACCTGAGTCTTCAGCGGCTCGGGCGTGTTCTTCTTGATCAAGGCTTGGACAAGGGTGTGAGACATCACCTCTGAGAACTTCTCTTGATATCGGTTGATGTCCAGTAGAAACTTCGTGAGCTCCTCGACGTAGGTCTCCCACTTGCCTGAAAACGCTGTGTTCACAAGAAGCTGCAGCTGCGTCACCTCGTCGGAGCCAGTAGCCGCATCCTCGCGTAGACAAAGACGTCGCCACTGCTCCAGGCCGTTGCCTGGCTCACAATTCATCACCAAGGTTAGCGCGCTGCCTCCAATCAACTGTGATAGAATGTATCCCATCGTCGCTGCAAACTGCTTGTTATCGTCGCCCATCTCTGAAAGCGCAATGACATTGCCGTGGGTAGCTGCTGTCGCGACTGCTTGTGCCAATTTCGGGTCGATGGCACCCAAGTAGCAGATCAGCTGGTATCTGAAGGTCGGGAATTCGTCGCGGTTGCCTGAGTGCTTGTTCGGTCGCCCCAGCAGGCGCGTGTCCACAAGACCAGCCATCATGAGAAGAACAGAAACCAATCGCGCTACCATGCAAGTACTGAAATGTTATCTTGATAACTTAAGTAGCGGAGCTGGGGTCCACGGACCTTGCCCGACAGGGCTGGTGAAATCCTTTTCCACCCCAGCATGAACTGAGCCAAAACTAGCTCTCCACAGTACACAAATGTCACAACAGCGCATGCGCAACAATCCTCACTCAAATCACTGATATATACCTTGTTTCCTGCACATATATATATATGTATCCCATATATATATATATATATATATATATATATATATATATATATTCATGCATGCATGAAAAGACAAACACGCGGGCCCCGGAAGGGGCATTTCAATCGAAACATAACATGTGCACCGGGTGGGGATCAGCACGCAAAACAGCAACAACAACAACAACAATCATTTTACCCTCATGCGCCATGCTTCCACATGACACATGCATCCATCTGGATAGCACACCCCATCATGGGGATTTTTCTGGCATGCGGGATCCGATATTCCCTCACCCAGATATCCCGCCCAAGAAGGTTTGGCCGCCACCTCTTCCGAGGAACTTCAACACCCATAGCTCGGACGGCACATCGCCTTCGCAATCGCCTTGCGCATGCCCCGCATCTCAGAGGGAGAGGAAGAGGAAGAGGAGGGGGAGATGAGAGAGATAGGGAGGGGGAGGAGGAGAAGGGAGGGGGAGGAGGGGGAGGAAGGATGAGTAGTTGTAGTAGCAGCAGTTGATGATATTGTTGTTGCGGCTGTAGCACTAGTAGTAGTGGTAACGGTAGTAGTAGTCCAAGTAAGTAGAACTGGCTTGTGGCAGCCAAGCGTTCATAGCGACGTTGTTTTTTGATCCTCCTTTAATGTCTTCTCTCCCTATCCTTGAGACGCAGAAGTTTCAAAAAGTTGGATGGTTCAGCACATCCAGGAAACCTATCGCTGGACCGGCCCAGATATGGTTCCAGAAGCGGCTCGGGAAGCTGCGCAGGCGCCAGAAGCAGAGAAGCACCACGCACGGGCGCCGGCTCGGGCGTCCGGCCCAAAGCCGCTCCAGAATCGGCCCAGGACGGCTTCCCGGGCGCCGCAAGCAGAAATTCAGCATTTTCGAAAGAAAAATGTGTATTGGAATGGCCTCTTTTCGGCGCGATCGGAACTGCCCGGGCGTCCGGCCCGGGAGCCGGGCCGGGTGCCGGCCGGGCCGGGTGCCGGCCCGAGCTCCGGAATCGGCCCGGACGGCCTCCCGGGCGCCGGAAGCAGAAATTCAGCATTTTCGAAAGAAAAATGTGTATTGGAATGGCCTTTTTTCGGCGCCGCCTCGGAATTCGATTTTCCGGCGCCCGGGCGCCGGCTCGGGCGCCGACCCAGGCGTCCGGCCCGGGAGCCGGGCCGGGTGCCGGCCCGAGCTCCGGAATCGGCCCGGACGGCCTCCCGGGCGCCGGAAGCAGAAATTCAGCATTTTCGAAAGAAAAATGTGTATTGGAATGGCCTTTTTTCGGCGCCGCCTCGGAACTCGATTTTCCGGCGCCCGGGCGCCGGCTCGGGCGCCGACCCGGGCGTCCGGCCCGGGAGCCGGGCCGGGTGCCGGCCCGAGCTCCGGAATCGGCCCGGACGGCTTCCCGGGCGCCGGAAGCAGAAATTCAGCATTTTCGAAAGAAAAATGTGTATTGAAATGGCCTTTTTTCGGCGCCGCCTCGAAACTCGATTTTCTGGCGCCCGGGCGCCGGCTCGGGCGCCGACCCGGGCGTCCGGCCCGGGAGCCGGGCCGGGTGCCGGCCCGAGCTCCGGAATCGGCCCGGACGGCCTCCCTCCCGGGCGCCGGAAGCAGAAATTCAGCATTTTCGAAAGAAAAATGTGTATTGGAATGGCCTTTTTTCGGCGCCGCCTCGGAACTCGATTTTCCGGCGCCCGGGCGCCGGCTCGGGCGCCGACCCGGGCGTCCGGCCCGGGAGCCGCTCTCGGCGGCGAGCAAGAGCACCGAGCCCGAGTAAAAAAGGAGGAAGTCTCGAGCCGGAGCGTTGTTGTTGTTGGGGGGCCGGTTTTGGCGGAACCCCAAAACGCCTGAGCGTGAGCCTCAATTTCAGAGGAAATGCGGCCGGCGCCTCGGCGAGAGCGCCAGGGCGAATATAGGGGGTCCAACAATAATAATTGTTTAGTAATTAAGGTTCAACAACAACAACAACAACAACAACAACAACAATTACTAGCACGTGGGGACACTCCGTTCTCACCAGTGCCAGGGTTTTCATAGGAGGCGGGCAATACCCCCACTTTGTGGGGGGGCCGGTTCAAGCTCTACCAAATTTCCAAACGACTCTTCGCCACCACCCACACCCAGCTTCCCGCCCTATGACGTTCGGACACTTCACTTCGTGGCATGCGGACGACCGTGGCTACTATTCAGGGCCCCGCGGCCGACGACGACGGCGTGCGCGCGCGAAGAAAAAACGAATGTGTCCCGCATGGTATTATTTGACAGGGATGATGGCCCTGGCAGGTGCGCAACCGTTGTCGCAGAAGTTCGAAAAAGTTGCTCGCAAAAGCCCGTTTGACAGAAATGTTTAAAAAGTGTTGGATTTCCTACGAATCCGCAAGAGCGCGCGGGATGAAATTTTGACATTTTTTTGTTGAAAAACCATTGGTTTTTTTGATGTTTTTATGTTAAAATCGTTACGAAAACTAAGGTTTTGGAAGGATTTCGTCTTGCGCGCGCGAATGTCCACTTTACCTTATTTTTTGCAAGGGATTCTTGAAATTTGATTATATTAGAACAAGAAATGTCATTTTATAGTGTTTTTTGCAAGGGAAAACGGATTACAACAAAACAACCGGATCTGGATCACATCGTTTTACCTGAGGCTTCCTCACGAAAATGATGAAAATGTAGCTGCGGCCTAGGCGGCGCAGGGGGGGCGTGCACCAGGGGGCCCAACAATAATTATTCTTTAGAATAAATAATGTTCAACAAAAGCAACAACAACAACACCAACACCAACAGCAACAACAACACCACCACCAACAACAACTAACAACAGCATCAACAATATCAACAACAGCAACATCAGCACCAACAGCGGCAACAGCAACAGCAACAGCAACAACAACAGCAGCAACAATAACGATTACATTATTGGGAGCCTGTCGGGCCGTCCTGAGCCCGTCATGAGAGGCTCTCATGCCGTCGTGGGCCATCTTGGGCTGTCTGATCCGATGTCCGATTGATTGTCATGGGAACCGTGTTGGAGGCCAGATTGGCTGTTTGGAGGCAGCAAAGAATGCCGCAGAGCAAACTCAGGGGGCGGATGTTGAACCACGCGCAAGTATCTCCCAGACAACATATGGACACTCCAACAAACCCATTTCGTGCAGGCCCGGCGGCATACATTTTAGGTTAGGGATTCTGGCGGCATATCATCTTTAATTATTTGGCTACCCAGGATTTCCAGAGGGGCACCCTGGCTGCCTCGATGCTTTCGAAGTGACGGATGTCAGCGGCGGGTGTGGCTCGCGGATGACGGAGTTCATGGCCTGCCTCGGGCCAGGATCCCCCCCGTGGCGTGGGCTCTCCGGGCCAGTGCGGCTCGCGGTGGCTGACGCCTCTCCCCGTCTCAGTGCAACGAGGGCCCAGCTGAGCACGGCGCCGGGATGCCTGCGCGTCTCGCCCAAGGCGTTTTGCTTGCGCCCAAGAAGGCGGTCACGGTCACCAGGCCTCTAAGGCTCGCCCAAGTTCGTTTGCTGTTCTGTCTGTCTTGCGCTCGTGGATGCCCATGATATGTCTGCAGTGCCTGGGAGGAGGAGCAGGAGGAGGAGCAGGAGGAGGAGGAGGAGGAGGAGGAGGAGGAGGAGGAGGAGGAGGAGGAGGAGCAGGAGGAGCAGCAGCAGAGCAGAGGAGCAGGAGGAGGAGGAGGAGGAGGAGCAGGAGGAGGAGGGAGGAGGAGGAGGAGGAGGATGAGGAGGAGGGAGGAGGAGGAGGAAGGCAAAGGAGGAGCTCAAAGCCGCTGCGGGAGAGAAGGAGAAAGCAGGGGGTAGGAGGGGGAGAGGGGTAGGAGGGCGGAGCTGAAGCAGGGGAAGGAGGGCCGAGGCGGAGCAGGAGGAGGAGAGCGGAGGAGGAACAGGCGCAGGAGGGCGGAGGAGGAGCAGGCGTGGGCGGATGGGGGCAGATAGGCGGAGGCCGATGGCGGAGGGAGGAGGGCGGAGGGGAGAGGAGAGGCGGGGGGCGGGAGGGCGGAGAGGCGAGAGGCGAGGAGGAGGAGGAGGAGGAGGAGGAGGAGGATGAGGAGGAGGAGGAGGAGGGAGGAGGGAGAGGAGCAGGAGGAGCAGGAGGAGGGAGCAGGAGGAGGATGGAGGAGGAGCAGGAGGAGCAGTGAGGAGGAGGAGGGAGGAGCAGGAGGAGCAGGAGGAGCAGGAGAGAGGAGGAGCAGGAGGAGCAAGAGGAGCAGGAGGAGCAGGAGGAGGAGGAGGAGGAGGAGGAGGAGGAGGAGGAGGAGGAGGAGGAGGAGGGAGGAGGACGAAGAGGATGAGGAGGAGCAGGAGGAGGAAGAGGAGGAGGAGGAGGAGGGCCGCCGCACGGAGGGCAGGCGAGGGCGGGGCCTTGCTTCCCATCGGAGGAACGCTGTGGCGGTCTTCACCTTGCTGTGGGTTTTGTTCGCGTGCTCCACCCACGCGGCGCCCGGGCGCGTGTTCCAGGTCGCAAGGGGGGGCGCCGCAGGGGTATACGCGGTTCGGTCGGTTGGGTCGCATCGCAGTCGGTTGCCGCGGTCGGGCCTTGTGTCGTTGCCGCGTCGCTGCGCCTTCCTGGGCCGCTTGTGGCCTGGCGGTGTTCGGACTCGCTGTCGGATCGGTCGGTTTTCGGCTTTTGGTGTCGCCGTGGACGGCCTTGCACCGGAAGCGGCGCCCCCAGAGCCACCCACACGCTTCGAAAGAGCTGCGACGGGAGGTCGCTTCCTCGTTTTCGGGCCGAGGGGGGGGGCTCGCGCCAGGCCCCGGGGCCGTCAAAGAACGCC